GGCTATTGCCAACATGGGACTCCTAATCTATGTTGGACACAACAAAAAAGTTATACTAAAATTGCCCTTTAATGCTAGGTGATTGAAAAATAAGAAAATGGTTTTTAGTTTCACTCTCTCTCTCTCTCTCACAGAGTCGTCTCGCTCTGCTCAACAACTGTGTGATTTAAAAATAAATAAAAATGGTTTTTCGGTTTTTGTATCTACGTTCCTTCTATCAATTTCTCTACCTATCGTTCTCCCCCAATCTCTCTCATTCTCTTTCTCGGTCAATCTCTCATTCTCTTGTAATTTTTGTCGTTCTCCCTCAATTTCTCCCACACTCATTCTCTTGTTCTTTTTTTTTTTAATATTTTTACACATTTATATGGTATTAATCAAATCGTATAAATGAACATGAGACCAACTTGGTATAGTTCAAAATTCATTATACCAATTTGATAAAAGTTCATAAGAAACTATTGGCTATGAAATTTACACCAATTTGATAGAAATTTATAACTTAATTGTACAAGTGGTTGGTCCCTTTAGTTCTTTTATATGGTCTGATTAATATAAAAATAGTTTGTAAGAAAAATAAAAAAAATGAGAGAGGTAGCGAGAGAAAGACTGAGGGAAAATGAGATATTAACTGTGAGGGAGAGTGAGAAATTGTTTCGGGTATATACCAAAGTTGAGAGAGTGAGACATTGAGAGATGACTACGAGAGTGAGAGATAAGGGAGGGAGATTGAGAGACAGAGGGAGCGAGAGAGAAATTGAAAACCTATTTTCGATATAGGCTTCTTTTTGTGTCCAACATGGATTAAGAGTCCCATGTTGTCAACAACCACATAAGCCTCTGATGACAAGGCGGGGGTTTTCTTATAATCTGAAATGTAGAGTCGATTGTCAGACTTTTGTTGGTTTCTGGACCAACCTACAACCTAATTTTAAGTGTATAACCGACTTTAACTATAATTTTCCCTTTAAATTTTTTATTTCTTTTACATTATATAAATATATTTTTTACTTATCACACTTAATTTTTGTTTGTTTATGATATCATTTGACCCAAACTACTAACCCACCGCCCAAAAAGAAAAATAGTTTGATTTCTAGATTGACATTAAATTTTGTATTACATTTCCATCATTGAAATTTTTTTTCTTATGTATAATATTTATTTTTGTTCAATATAATGAATGCATAATATTATAGATGTACCCAATATTTTATTTTTTATAAATATATAACATTAGATATGTGCCCAAAAATTTCTCTATCTTTTCTTTTTTATTTTTTGTGATTCTTTGTATTTTTTATTTTAAAAAAAATTATTATTTGACTATGACATCATTTCATTTCTAGGTATATTTTAAGTTTGGTATTCCATTTTCATCATTAATAAAAATACTTCTTACAATTCATACTTATTTATTTTAAAATTTTTATTATTTAATTATGGAATTATTTATTAATGCATTTGACCCCAAATGATCGAATTGATTGCCCACCACCAAGAGGGAAGAAAATGTTTTTGTTTTCAAATTATTTATTTTTATACTATTAAAATTAATATTGTAGATTTAATTACAATATTTTAATGATGAGAAAAATATATCTTAAATATTGGATTTAATGAGAGAGAATAGGAAAATATTTTTATTTTCAATTGGTTTTAAATTTTACATTCAATTTCCATCATTAATAAGAACATTTCTTATTTATCATACTTATTATTGTTTAATATGTATGTTAAAAATGTTTCCATTTTTTTAATTTTTATTTTATCTATTTTTTGAATTTTATTATTTAGTCGTGGCAACATGGATTAACCCATTTGACCCCAAATGGTTTAATTTACCACTGCCTAGATAAAAACTCTATTTTTCTAGGTAGATTTTAAAAGTATAAGATTTTATGTTATTGGAATTATTAATTTATTAAGTATGAATTTAATTAATAGAATTTAATGATGAGAAGAAACAAAAATAACTTAAATATAAGATTCATTGAACATGAATGCAAGTTAATAAATTAAATATAGGATTTATTGAGAGGGAATTGAATATCATAAAATTACCTCTTTTCAGCTCATTTAATATCAATAACTGATTATCCTATTTGCCCTCACTTTTTATCAATAAATTTAAGTGTAGAGGGGTAAATTTTATCCTAAAAAAATTCCAAAAATATCCTTGAGGCCATTCGTGCTTTTTAAAATAGTATAGATTTTGTACTAGTACAAATAAAAATTGTGTATTGGTAATAAACATAACCTTCCTATTTTGCTCAACCTGATGAATCCATTTGTACTTTATCCTCATTCTAGCCCTTGAATGGTGGGTTTTCATTACCATAATAAAGCTATCTGATTATTGTTGTTGATTAAAAATGTTGTTTTAATTGCAACTGTTTATTTTTCTATTTCTTTTCTAGTTCAATCTTTTATCCACTATTTATTTCATGACTCTCTCTGGTGGACTAGCCTTTGTAGTTTTTGTGGTTTGAACTTTAGGCTCCATTTGGAAGAAGTACAAATACAAACCGGTTCAAGGTAAATTTGCACTCTAGTTCACTTTTGCTTGTGTTTGACAACATTACATTTATGTATTGACAAATGATAGACCACTGCATATTTATATTGATAATAAGATGTAAAAGTATATTAATAAAAAAGAAGTAAATTTGCATTCAAGTGGGCTTTTGATAAAAAGAAAACTATTTGCTTTATTGAAATTCATGTTTGCATCCATTACAGCTAAAAGTCTGTTTGGTAAGAAGGTAAATTTGTCAGTGCAAAACTAATCCAACTTTGCAATTTATATGAACCATTTTACACTTTACATATTTGCATTCACACTTATTTACGTTTCCAAACGTAGCCTTTGTTTTATTTTGTATGAATTTGTACTGTAAACTTAGCCTTAATCTAAGGTTTTGCGCTTTACATATTTGTATTTGTACTCCTTCTAAACTGAGCCTTAAATGTGTGTTTTGTGTTGTTTTTCCTTTATAGTCGACAAGATTGTGGTCGGTAAAGAATTCTGTCCTACCAAGTTGTCCAGAATTCCTCAAAAGTTATTTTCATAACTTCATCCGAGCAACTGAATCACGGTGTACAGGACTAGTGGTTGGTTTTGTCCAACGCCAACCACAATTTTTCTGTTGCCTTTGTGGGTAAAGGTATTAAAGCTTTGCAGATAAAATTAGCGCTACTCAGGTAGGTGATCAGGGAGCTTAAAAGCCTTATCATGTTGGTTTTCCGTCCAGGTGAGGTAAGTCTCTACACCGGAGGGATCTTATACATGTCAATGCGGAGGGTTCTGGGCACCCAAACCCCAGATGCTACCAAAGAGTAAGTTTAAGCTGTGGCAACTATAACATTGTAAATAAATCATTTATCCACTCAATACACACTTTTGTTCAGATCATATCAAACAATACATTATACATGAATATTATCAAAGTTACACTTTTAAGAAATGCAAATATATAGCCATCTGCATGTATCATTGACTTCACTTGACTGCACTAGCATAGATTCGGGCTCTTTCTTGTCTAAGCTTCTCAAGCTCTGATCGAGCATGTGAATCTTCTCCATTTTTTCCTGCTAACTGTTGTTGCAAACTTGATATTTTCCTGTCCATGCTTCTTATCTTTGTGGAAGACAATACAAAAAAGGCAAAAAAAGATGACATTTTCAGCCACCACAAACACATTATATGAGAGAGAGAGAGAGAGAGAGAGAGAGACCTTTCTATGAGGCCACCGGAGCATTCCGTTTTTCCGGCATATCTTCTTAAGAACAGTGGGGCATATTGACAATTCTTTAGCAGCAACTTCTATGGGCAGGTGGAAATAGCCTGTCAAATCTCTCAGTTGCAACTTCCCTGTTCTCTCCCTCTGTGTCAGCCAAAACATGAAAAGCAGAAGAAAAAGAAAAAAAGATGAGCAAATAAAAATCAATGACTTAGTAACACATTGATCGCATGATATGGTTCGCCAAAAATAAATGATTGCATCACTAGTTGGATCAGATTGTACATACAAGATTATACTTCTTGGTCCTACTGAATGATCTATGCTGTTTTTAAGCTGAACTAATCCATGCCACCTAATTGATTATGAAAACTGAAATTTCCTTTTTTTAAGAAGCAAAACACATGAAAAGAGCAGCAAATATGACCTGTAAAGCGAGGCTGCTTCGAGTGGGTCTAGTGCCACTGCTTTCTGCATTTGAATTGATCATTTCACTCACCTCTGTAATAAAAACAAAAAGAGAAGGCAAATGGGTCAGTCTGTTTAAACTTGGGAACTTAACATCCCACCTGATAGTTAAAAGATCAACTAATCTAAAGTGCATGGTGACCAATACTTGTGCTATAGGACAGCAGTGAGTTGGTGTTCCAAGGCTACTAAAATAACTCCCTGGAAGCAAATAACAAAGACAGAAGGATGGCCAAAAACCTGATTCATTTTGACAAGGTTGAGTAAGTTCATCAAGGCTAGCTTCCTCATCCCAATTCTGTCCAGCAGATAAAGCATCATAGAAATCTGACAATGGATCTTGCAACATGACAAACCCTGCCTCTCTTCTTTCTTTGCAATACTGCATTAAGAACTGCTTCACGCTCTCCATTGTTTGTTTGCTGAAACTGTGTACCATGAGGAGAAAGTATGTCATCAAAGGCATCGTTGTTTTGGGTGTTCATACAACAGAGACATTTTGACAATTATTACTGTTACTATTGGTTAAAATGTTATTATACTCAAATTATTCCTCTCACAAACTTGATGTGCTATTAGAACATTCCTTCAGAATTTTATTTATCATGTGGGATGGAGCCATAGAGAGGTGAGTATGCAAACCATAAAACCAATGGCTTGAGCTTGATATATAGACCTTGGTGTTTACTTATTTCATAGATAAAGTGGTGAAGGTTTATGAGAAAGATGAGTAAGTAGTAACATAAGTTCTTTCTGGAGCCTTGAAACAGAATGAAAACTATAAAATCCTCACTCAGTCATATGATACTGTGTGTTTGGTGCAACCCCATCTTGGATCTCTAGAATAGCATGGCAAATTACACCAACTCTGCCATGAATCTCAAGCCTGGTAGCTTCAGTGCCTACAAAATAAACAAGTAAAAGAAAAATGAAAGTGTGTTATATATGAAGGACATGATTCTAATTGGAAGGGTGACTCTGTTATGCTTTTTTCATAGAAAATTCGGTCCAGTTTGGATTGATTGATCCAACATGGACATACCATTTGTGTGGCGGATGTCTCTAATCACTTGACAACAACTGCAACTGAGTGGAACCCAAGGCTGAGGCCGTATTGAAACGGGAATTGTATTCTCATAACCAGTCCCCAAGAATTCAGAAAGTTTGTCCTCTGGTTTAATTGGTTCCAGGTTGAAGTCCATAGGATCCACAAGAAGATCACTGTTGTCACCCGCAATACCTGGGTAATCAGGATTCCCCCATACTAATTCACCATCTAATGGATCCAAAGGTCCTGCACTCTCATTTGTTGATTCAGCAATTGACACAGAGTTGGGTTCGACTTGTTGTAGTTGCAGTAGTTGGTCGATATCAGGATTCGAACTGAAGTAATCCAACAACCAAAGAAGATCATCTTCCGGAGATGGGCACTGAACTTGGCCCTCAAATGGAACTAATGATTTGATTTCCTCCATGGACATGGCGAACTTAATCAGTGATCTCTGCAATCAAGTCAAGTCATTGGGGATTCTGCTTCTGATCAGAGATTGTCCTGCAATCCCAAGCACCGACGGGTGCTTGAGAAGGCAGTCCAAGGATCTGCGATGCATCCAAAGTCTCACAGCCATGAAATAAAAGAATGAAGGCGGGAGGTAGTTGCTAGCCGTTGCAGCATGGCGGTTCCAAAAAAGCAGTATTTTTGAAAACCGACCCGGATTTCGAACTCTGAATTACTACATTCTGTTTCTGTGTTTGTGGTTGTACTAACCCTACCACGTGGGTTCCATCTATTTTTGTTGTAGTAGACGTGGGCAGGAGATCCGAACTCATCTAAGGGGTCCAATTTACAGAAAATCATTGCGATTTTATAATCACAGCCATCTGATTCAAGCCAAGTAATAGTGCAAGTGGGACCTACACTTTGGTCTGTTTGGATTGGGCTATTCCCAGAAATCCCCAATTGAATCTGGATATGGGCCTGGGCTTAAAGGCCTTTGGGCCTAACTCCTGAGATGTTATATGTTACAATTTACAACGTGCTGGCTTTCGATGTACAACTACAGGTCTACAGTCTACAAACTGCAAAGGATAAACCCGGGTATTTCCTCGCTCTGCTCTCAGAGAGAGAGAGAGAGAGAGGAGTGAAGCGGAGGAGGGAAACAGAGTCGTAAGAAGAAGATGCTTTCCCTCAAAATTTCAAAGCAAACTGCTTTACCTGAATTCCCGAAACCCTTCTATCCTACAAAAGCTTTAGTGAGGAAGTCAACTGTTTCATCACGTCCACTTCGCAGACGTGTTTCCAGAATACATTTAGGGTTTAAGAATCAATTAACACTTCTGACTAAAGGAAATAAGCTCCGGAATGGAGTTTGTAGAGCTTCAGCTTCGAGGTCAGAGTCGTCCGCTATAGTTTCGGAAGATGCAGAAGAAGACATTGAGTCCTCTCGTCTCTTTGAGGTCTGCAAACTTAGTAGTTTCTATCGAATTTTTTATTTTCCATTTATTAATTTGAAAAAAAAATGGATGGGTTGGCTGGATTTTAGTTGCATTTTCAGTCTTGCTTGATTTTCCCCCTTTCTGATCTTCACGGTTGGATAATTCTATTCATTATATGCTTAGTACTTTCAAATATTAAACAGAACGGAGTGGCGAAATAGGATTCATGTAGCTGATCCTATATAGTTGGGATAAGGCTTGGGTGATGATGGTGATGCAGATTCATCAGATTTCATGAATATACTGATTCTTACTTGGTGTTCAATATATATCTGTATCAGAGATAAATTCTGTACATCTTTTTAGAAGGTTAATTAGAATGGTTGAGTATTAAAGTTTGCCCGGTTTAATCTTATGGAAAACTTATAGTATTTGATTAATGTGTTCATCATCCAGTAGCGTCACTTAATGAACTCCAACTTTTATTGTTTACAAATGGATATCATGAATGTGTTTTACCAAGAGATTTTTTTTTTCAGGGAAAACATAAACCTACTTATCTTTTCTTTCTGGAAATTCTAAGTAATTTAGTCTCAATAAGAGAGCTCTGATGTTTCTTTTTTAAAGATGGAGGTGACTGTGGAAGAGGATTGTAAAACAGTAATCTCTTGGATGAAAGGGAGGATACTCCATGGTGCTACAGATCTTTTGTGAGATAGGCACTAGACCTTGGCAGATCTTTGAATTTCTTCAAATGTGTGCCCAGGTCTGCAAATTTATTAGCTGATTCTTTAGCAAAGCCTGGGGCTGCAAGGGAGTGTTTGGAGTGGGGTTTTCCAGGGCCGGGAACTAATTTGTTACTTTGCTTATTTTGTTTATTAGCATTGGTGTTACAGCCATTCCCATGGTTTTGTACTACTATCCAGTTTTTTTTGGTAGTTAGGCCTTACAATGAATGGAACTCATGCTGTTATTTATCAAAAAAAAAGTTTGATTTCTTTTAGAATGTTGGTTTTGTCATATTATAATCCCCAAGTAGTTTGGTGCATGTTGTGTAGGTACAATCTCTTTAACTTATCCAAGAAAGAGAAAAGTTGAGCATTTTCTTACTGTCTTGAATTCTGTGTACATGGGTTTTCAGAAATTGAAGGATGCAGAGAGGGAACGGATAAATAAGTTGGAACAGCTGGAGAATAAGGCAAATATGCAACTAGAGAGGCAGCTTGTTATGGCTTCATGTTGGAGCAGAGCATTGTTAACTATGCGCGGGAAGTTGAAAGGAACAGAGTGGGATCCTGAGAATTCACACAGGATTGACTATAGTGAGTTTTGGAGACTTCTTAACTCAAATAACGTCCAGTTTATGGAGTATTCCAATTATGGTCAGACAATATCTGGTAAGTACTTTATTCAAAAACTTCAGTGCTTAGTTCTGTATCTACTGTATCTATATTTTTTATTTCTATTGCTTTCTAGTTCACCATTTTGCATATATTCACCAATTGAAATGTTGTGCTACAAGTAAAGTATGTATAGGTTACCCTTCTACGGGTTCAGGTTCTTGTGGAAGTATCTTAAGCTCATCTACAGAAAATATTGACAGTCTTAATGGCTTAATGGGAGATTTATGTGTATACATTGTGTTACTTTTTTTGTACATTTATAACCATATTATAACATGAGTAACAGTTACAAGTCAAAAGAAAAAGGGACAGCTCTTGCAAGTTGAGGATATGATCTGTTTTGGAAACTAAATAAAAGGTCCATAAGGCAACCTCATACAAGCACATTTTTGATTCATAATAAAACTCTGAAGATAGTTGAGGACATGGCTGGTATTTTTCCAAGTTAGGCTAAGGTGGTGTTTGGTAAATCTGAAATCTGAAATCTGAAAAGTTAAAAAAGATATTAAAAGTTTCTGAAATCTGAAAAGAGACAGTTGTTTTTTGACTTTTTAGAGGCTCTGAATAAAGAAGGTTGTTTGTGTTGGATCAAACCTTCAACATCTGAAATTCACTAATTTTACTATCTTACCCCTAAATTAGACTATTCGGTAATTCTGAGTTCAACTTGTACTACTTCATAAAAATAATTTATTTCATTCAAAATAATATTGAAAAATAAGAATAAATTATAAAAAAAATTATTAAAATAAGAAAAATAGCGGACGGCGAGAGTTGCAACGGCGTCCGTGGATGGTGGAGGCGGCACTTGCTTAAGACACTTGTTGCCGCTGGTTTGCCGGAGTCGCTTGCAGAAGGAGTCCATGGACGGCGAGAGTTGCAGTGGTGTCCGTGGACGGCGGAGGAGTTGTAGCGGCGAGAGTTGCAGTGGAGGAGTCACTTGCTTAAGACACTTGCCGCCACTGGTTTTCCGGAGTCATTTGCAAGCGGCGTCCATGGACGGCGAGGGAGTTGCAGTGACAAGAGTTGCAGCAGAGGAGTCACTTGCTTAAGACATGTCGCTGCTGGTTCGCCGGAGTCACTTGCGGAGAGAGAGAGGGAGGGAGGGAGAGAGAAGATGAACGGTGAGAGGGAGAAACACAAGCATGTTTTTAAGGGTATTTTGGACTTTTGGCCAGGTCTGAAATGCATCTGAACGTGTGCAGCGCCTGGTTTGCCGGAGGAGGCACTTGCTTAAGACACTTTCTGCTGCTGGTTTGCCGGAGTCACTTGCAGAAGGAATCTGTGGATGGCGAGAGTTGCAGTGACATCCGTGGACGGCAGAGGAGTTGCAGTGGAGGAGTCACTTGCTTAAGACACTTGCCACAACTGGTTTGCCGGAGTCACTTGTGAGCGGTGTCCATGGACGGCAAAGGAGTTGCAACGGTGAGAATTGCAGCAAAGGAGTCACTTGCTGCTGCTGGTTCGCTGGAGTCACTTGCAGCAGAGGATTCGCCTCCGCTGGTTCGCTGGAGAGGGAGGGAGGAGTCACTTGCTGCCGCTGGTTCGCCGCTGCATCAAGTGGATAAGATGAACTGGGAGAAACACAAGCATGTTTTAAGGGTATTTTGGACTTTTGGCTAGGTCAGAAATGCATCTGAACGCGTTCAGCGCCTGGCCCAAGTCTTATTATTTCAGCTCTGAAAATAATTTTCAGACTTCAGAAAAGCAACATTTTCAGACTTCAGAGGTCTGAAAAGTGTTATCAAATGTCACCTAAGGTGTTGGAGAAGTGGTAGAGACATAGTTTTTATCGATGTTCATAAGCGGCCTTGAGGGGATCAGATCTTCTGCCTCTGTATTTGATTGGAACAATCTGTTGCTTGTAATACTGAAATTTGCTTTTTGCTTGTATATGAATCCTATTTAATTTCACTCTAAAATGATAGTTGAGGACATGACTGGTATTTTTCCAAGTTAGGCTAAGGTGTTGAAGAAGTGGTAGAAACATAGCTTTTATTGATGTTCACAAGCGACCTTGAGGGGATCGGATCTTCTGCCTCTGTATTTGATTGGAACAATCTGTTGCTTGTAATACTGAAATTTTCCTTATGCTTGTACATGAATCCTATTTAATTCCACTCTAAAAAGGGCCATATCCATTGTTGACTTGTGACTGCTCATAACATTTCTGACTAGCTCCACCATTTCTTTTCTGGTCTACCCAGGCTCTTCTAGATGCTTTCAACTTATGTCGTATCACTTCTTCTTAACAATGTAGTTGGTGGTCAGGTCTTCTATGCACATTCCTACCTACTTGTCCTTATTTATCTCCTGGATTCCCATAAATGGTCTCATTTCTAATGTTACTGTTGTGTGTTTTACCACCAATTTATCATGATATTCACATCTCATTGATGCTTATTTTTGAACATCATGTTTATTAACTACTAAAAGCTTTGCTACATATGATATTTTTGGCCTTATTTATTTTTTTTTTTGGGAAAGGTAACTATTTCATTAAGAACAAAAAAGGGAGTACAGTTTTGGCCTTATTAGAAAATGTTTTTTGCCTGATTGGTACTTTCCAGTTATTCAACACTCTAGGTGCAACTTTCCATTTTGTTCACCCTTCTCTAATTCTATGGGTGACATACTCCTCAGTCTTTCCCTCACTATGAATTGTTAACAAAAGATGTTACATTGAGGTATCTCATCTCCAATCCAAGATATAAATTTGAACATTTTTTGACCAAGATATGAAATTTTGTTTCACTCATAAAAAAATTAAGTGGAAAGCGGGCTTATAAAAGAACCAGATTAGTTCGTTTGATGAGGGCCAAAGAGTGACCTCATGGTGGCAAGTTATTATTAAACGATTATGGATGTTTGAGTTGTGGTTATCGGTATTGAAATCCACCTGGGGCTAGCCGTGAACTTAACAAGGTCTGAGCTCTCCTTTCTTCATATCGGAATGCTAGTAATGATTAATCTCCTCATCCTCTTTAAATTTAGTCTTAATGACAATCTTAAACGAATATGGGTTGTGAATTTTGGGTGGGATTCAAGTGAGAACATTTATGGTGTGATTGTATGGAAGGGGATTATGAAATACTATTCTTTGTTGCTTTCTTACTTAAGACAAGTTGAAGAAGAGAGGTTTTCATTTGACAAACAGATGCATGCTTTGGTTTTTTACAGGAAGAAAATATCTTTCATTTTCTGGTGAATTACAGTTTTGCAATAAGAATTTTGAGTTATTTCTTTCAACTACTCAGAATGGATGGGTCAAAGGAGATCTGTGGCCAAGGTTTAATGGAGACATCAAAGCTAAAATTTTATGGAGCTGTATCCCTTTCGCTGTATGTTGGGAAGTGTGGAAAGAAAGAAATAGAAGAATGTTTGAAGGGAAGATGGAGAGCAAGGCTAGACACAGTCATTGGGGCAAAGCTTATGGATTGGATGTTAATTCTTCCAGAATTTGAAGGCTTTCAAAGAGAAGATTTTGGCTCGGACTTCTGGCACTCAATGAATTATAGCTAATATATTAAGTTTAACAGAATTGGTTGATTTTCTCTTACTTTTTGTATTTCTGGTCTGGATTGGTGACATCTTGTTACCGGATCTTTTAATGTTCTTTATCTTCAATAATTTTTTCTTTATATATCCTCCAGAAAAATTGGAATAAAGATACTAGTTAACGGTACATAGGTTTTCACCTATATATGGAGCTCTGTTGATTCCCTGAAGGAACCACTCTAATCTTTTACTCGAAGTTTTCATCAACTTTTTTTTTTTTTTGTAAGATAAAATAAATTTTATTAGAAACCAGCAAGCTTATACTTATAGTACAACAGCTCTCTAGTCTCAAAGAGAACAGCCAAGAGACCAGAACAGATTACAAGCTCCAAAGGGAGTGGGATCTTAACAACTCAGACACATTCTGATTTTTGAAATCAGATTTAACAGAAACCCAAGTATCAGTCTGCTAACAGCAGAACATATTACATCTTCTGGGCTCTTCTCTTTGTTACAAAAAATTCTACCGTTCCTTTCAGTCCAGATAGACCAGAGTACAGCTGCAGGTACACACTTTCACACAATCTTTCCTTTTTTCTTCAGATCTTGGACATTCCAGCAGCACATTAAGTCTTCGATTGAGCTCAGCATAACCCAACTAACCCCAGCTGCATTTGAGAAAATGATCCCACACCTTAGAAGTAGAAGTACAGTGTAAGCCCAAATGGTCAATCGTTTCAGGGACCCAGATTTGTTCTAGTAAGGCACTTATTCAGAGACATAGCCACACCTGAAAGTTCACTTTTGAAGGGGGGGGGGGTAGGATCCCAAACTTGCTTGCAGGGGAAATCTGATGAATCTGACCTATTCAATTTTAAAGCCAAAGATCTCACTGAGAACCACCCATTAACATACCACTTCCAACACCACTCATCCTCCTTGTTGATGTCGATTTCTTGCCTCTGTAACAAGTTCAGCAAATTCAACACTTCCCCAATTTCCCAATCAAATAAATTCCTTCTGAACTGAGGAGCCCAGATTATGATTTCTTGCCTCTGTAACAAGTTCAGAAAATTTGAAACTTCCCCAATTTCCCAAACAAATAAATTCCTTCTGAACTGAGGAGCCCAGACTAAAGAATTTTCAGACCAAACATTAAGAATCAACCACAGAAACATCTTGGCCAGAAGCACATTGGAAGAGGATAGGGAAATTCATCAATTGATTTTTCTTCCTTAAGGTTTAATTCATCATCATTATTTCATATAATGGATACATATCTTTTTTATTTTTTATTTAAGGACTTCTGTTAAGTGGTCTTAATTGAGGAACTTATGAAAGGTATTCTTCATTCTGAAGAAACAATAAGCATGTTTGTTTCTATTTTTATTTTCTTTGTGATGTGGATACTTCAAAGTAGGCTGTTTTTTATTGCCATTGTCATACAAGAGGTCAAAAGTCCAAATATATAAGTGATTCTAATACATATTAATAGCTATGTTGTTCAAAATTTATGAATCAGTGGCTTTTTATGCTCATTTCCTGGACAAGTTATATCTGAAGATTACATCCTCTTTTTTTCTGCAGTGATTTTACCATACTACAAAGATGGAAAAGTGGAAGAGTTGGAAGGAAGTTCCAAGAGAGAAATAGTTTTCCGGCGTCATGTGGTTGATAGGATGCCAATTGATTGTTGGAATGATGTTTGGCAGAAGTTGCACCAGCAACTTGTAAATGTTGATGTTATTAACGTGGACACTGTACCTGCAGAAGTGTACTCAACCATTGCAACTGCTGTTATATGGTCTATGCGTTTTGCTCTTTCTATTGCATTATATCTATGGATTGATAATATGATGAGACCTATTTATGCAAAGTTGATACCTTGTGATTTGGGAACTCCCACCAAAAAAGCAAAGCAGCCCCTCAGGCGTCGTGCACTTGGATCTTTAGGCAAGAGTCGGTAAGTGTACAGTAATTTCTTGATGACTTGGTTGTTGGTTATCCTTTTCCATTCCATTTCCTGTTGAAGATAGGTGGTGGTGACATTGTTCTGGATGTTGAATTTCTTTTCTTGTACATGAATAATTAAATAACAATCAAATATGAGTCAAGAATTGATGTTATCATATCAGCGCTAGTGCATCAAATTCAGTTATGTTCATGCAGTTATTTCTGCTTGGGTTTGATAGTTCTTAGGTGACCTCCTATGAAACTTCTTTAACCTTTATCCTTAGCTTCAATTTCTAAGGAAGAAATAATTCCATAGCAGGCGATTTATTTAGTGGGATGTTGTTAAGTTCTTCAATTGGTCAAGCCTGGAATGTGAATGGGCTAGCTGCACTGCTAGAAGTAGAATTTAAAATATCCTAACAAGCATTGCAAAGTACTTTTAAATTCTTAGTAACTGTACTAATTTTGATGGTTGTACTTCCAGCTTATAGCGGGGTGGTCAAATGCAGAGATGCATTTAGAGTGCTAGGTGATTGGAGAACGGAGAATACCAATCAGGTTAAAAGGAAAATTTTATCAAACAGCTGTATGGTCGGTAATGTTGTATTGCTGTACAGAGCAAAGTTTGCAGCCAAGAAAAAAATTGCAGTTAAGAAGTAACTTGTGTAAAAAATGAGTGTAGTGGAGGTATCAGATATTGAGATCAATAGTGGAAAAACTGGAAAAGAATAGGGGTAGAAATCACCAATCTGTGGGAATCTAGGAGTTAGCATGATAAGTGATAAAATGAGGGAAACCATAATAAGATTGTTTTGGAATGTAAATAGAACACCACCTACTGCACCAGTAAGAAGAAGTGGTCTGATGAACAAGATCTAGAAGAGGTAGGGGAAGGCTGAAAGGGACATGAGTTGAAATAGTGAGACTTGATTTGAGAGCTTGAAATTTAACAATGGATATGGCCCTTGGTGGCTATAGTGCCGATATCAGGGTACTGACATAGAAACAGATTAGGGAAAGAGGGATACGTTTCTCCATTTCCTATGATCCTGTACATGGTTAACAATACCTTATCACATTTAATATGCTTATGTCTAGGAATGGCAATGGGGCAGGGATCATATTCCCCGTCCCTGACCCCGATTCTGAAATTAACCCCCATCCCCGTCCCTGACGGGGATGGGTTCCCTACAGGACCCGAATCCCCGAAATGTTTTTAGATAACAATATTTTTTTTGAAAAATAAATTTATTTAAAATACATAAAAAATTTTAAAATTTAAATTATAAATAATGTTTTAAATATATTTTGATATATATGTAATATAAATAATACAATAGTATATTTAATATAAGTTCCCTACAGGACCCGAATCCCCGAAATGTTTTTAGATAACAATATTTTTTTTGAAAAATAAATTTATTTAAAATACATAAAAAATTTTAGAATTTAAATTATAAATAATGTTTTAAATATATTTTGATATATATGTAATATAAATAATACAATAGTATATTTAATATAAATAACATTTAATATATATATATATATATATATATATATATATATATACTATGGGCTTAAAGAGGGCATATATGATATATATATATATATATATATATACTATGGGCTTAAAGAGGGCATATATGTCCTTTAATCTCATTTTA